TTTTTTTTTTTTGTTTTGGTTGGGGTGCGGGTGGTGTGGGGGGGGGGGGGGGGGGGGGGGGGGGGGGGGGGGGGGGGGGGGGGGGGTGGGGGGGGGGGGGGCTCCGGACCCCTCCACTTTTCAAAAGTAGTGGCTTTCTTTAGTGAAATTGCTGTGGAACTGTTATTTTAAAATCTAGGTATTATAACTCTTTCCTAAGGGGAAGTGTGGGAATGTATTCCTCCCCCCTCACTTTTTTCCTTACGGCATATCCCTGGTACCGCGTCACGAGGTTTTCTTCAAGTCTGTCTTTATTGCTTGACGTACGCAACTAAAGTTGACATCTTTCATCTCGATGATCTCGAAATTTTCGAAAGTCAGAAAAGAATTGTTGAAACGTCAAGTTAAGGTATCAAAATTCAAATAGTGCTATTCTTCAGAGAAGGAATCGATACCAGTAACTGGTCGGTCTTTTCCGATTATCAGACAAACTGGTCTGCCGGTAGACCGATCGGTCGCCGGTCTCACTTCTTTGCTTTCCTGCTTTTATCATATAGACTTATTTCATTTCTATGGGTCGTAGTAGTATCACATAGAGGATATGAAATGAAATATTGTTGGTAGCTGATCACATTATAGATTGAACCGATACTAGTTACCAACCGGTTTGGTCTTTAGACCGATCGGTCCCATGCCTAACAATCCGTCATGGAAACGGCTGGTTCTGTGATATTCTAGAGATTTCGTTGAAGCAGTAGTCCGGCGAACGGATATGGTGACTGGATTTATCCGGTTCCACGAGGAATCGACAGGATCCTGTGAAAAATGGCAGCTGGATACGATTCCCAGATTCCTGTGTCGAATACCTAGCATTGTTTGGTAGGTTCCGACCGAAAACAGTAGGTTTCCTGCGGTTCCTCGCTGGAAACGGTGTCTTTCCTGAGGCTCCCGGCGGAAATTTAAGTGTTCGAGTGCTCTTCAAGAAAGTAGTCTGTTCAAACTGCAAGCTCCTAGTTAGTGATCTCCTATGTTACTCACTTATAGAAGTTGAATGGCTTACCGTAATGTTATATCAAAACTTGAATTTTTTCTTTTACGTTTAGGACATACAGTACATCTACATGCTGAACGGATATCGAATTCTTGCATTGGTCTCACAAAGTCAAAAACAATTTTTGTTAATGTATTTTCCAAATCGTATTCATTGTCAAAATTCATGTTAGTGAGCAGTTTATGTCGCACAAGCCAATGTAGCCGAGCAACGTCCCGACCTTTGTTTTCGACACATTGAAATGTTTCACGGAGAGCAACAAAGGCATCAAGAGTGTTGTTTTCGAAGAGGTCACGAAATTTATCGGTGCCAGCGTTATAGGCATGATACAAAGCGAACAGACCAGTATCAATAGGACATGTTCTTGTGACAGAGAATGATTCACCAGCATAGACACAGTTTTTAAAACCAAATCGGGGCCATACGAGATTAAGACTACCAAGTGTCGTAGTATGTATTAGATTTGTTACTTTTGATTGCTGCTTATTAGATGAGTTTGGCCGTGTTCGTTTTGGTTTCTTGCGTTGACGATGACATTTCTTTTCAAGTGCATTATCAGAAAGATTATCAGTAGACGATGAAAGATATCGCTTTGGTGAAAGTGCTTTGGATAATAGATTTGGACTAATCGTTGGAGAAATATAGTCATTAGCATATTTTGTATTTGGAATACGATGACGTGAACCTCTTCGTAAATTACTTTCTGTATCAGTGGTTTCCGATTCACTAAGATCAGAATAAGCCACTAAAGTTGGTAAAGTATTTTGAATTGTATTTGGATGGCTAAATGGTTCATTAATGTTACTATTCAAAGAGGCCAATGAGTTATGTTCTGGAGCAAAAACATCATTACTGCTTTGCACGATTGAATTGGAACACTTGACAGAAAAACCCAATGATTGATTGGAAGCAGAATGGATTGATGAATTACTTGAGTTTGTATCACTAAATAATATGCAGAACTGAAGTGAAATCCTATCCATTTTAAATAGTTATAGTCATAATGGAATGGTCAAGAAACGTGCTCACAAAGCCTCTCTATTTCAGTTTCCGAAATGTCTATCCCAAGAATCAAATATATTTACAAACGGAGCAGATAGAATTTTTGAAAGCAGACTTATGGGGAAAAGTCAGTAAAGTCATTACTATAGTGTTCTCTATTTAACTACAAATGAAAAAATCGAATACTTAGGATTGATGCCAATGTTGTCCGGCGCTTCATCAGTCACTGAATAAGATGAGACTTCACCGAATTGAACTTTTCGTTGTGGTCCTTTGCCATTCCTACATGAGAAAATAAAATGTAAAAGTAGCCTAAAATCTATAGAATATAGTGTACGATAGCTTTGATGCTGTTGTTTGGCCAACTTCACGACTGAAGTAAGGCCCTCGTCGACTGAAGTTTGTTTGGGAACGGCCTTTTCTATGCCAATTTTCTTTGATGTTCAGACTGTCCGATTCCGGTTGGCTCTCCGATCTCTGCCGACGGGTCTTTCGCCTACGCGAAGTTTGAGTCACACCAAGTTGATTTGCCTTCGATCGTGAAACAGAGTGTAGGTAAACTTTTAGTAAGAAATGAGCAGGTCGAAGACGAGTTTTCTTCAGAAGAACAGATTCTTTAATTAAAGAAAAGTATGACTCGGCAGAAGCATTCGATATTCGACCGTGACCGAATTCCAAATTACTCGTTGAAATCTTTTTGCCGTCATTAGCATATCTAAATTGTGTATATCTATATAATAATTTACTTAGATCAAAATGAAACTTGCCTGTCAACGAATTCTACCATGATACCTGACCATAGAGGAAGATAAGCAAACCATTTGTAAAACAGCCGTACAATCTTGGTTGAAAAAAGTGAATTAGTTGGTTTTATCTTCAAAGGTTCTTTATGAATCAGTTCTTTGAGAGTTGGTATCCGATCACATGCTTTGACATTAAACGGCGACTGGTGAATTATTGCATCGGTCGTAATATCAATCTCATCGAGAAAATGTGGTGGATCCTCATCGTTTTCATAATCATCTAAGTATTGTTCGACAGGAAATTCATAATCATTTGATTTACTTAGAAGTGAAGATAATATTTGTAACGATTGTCCATTATAAGGATCGGCATAAACATTCATGATTTCTTCAAACAAATCGAATGCACCATCCGCATTGTAGCAATTTAATAGCACAGCAAATAGTGTCATAATTTGGCAACGTGCGTCTTTTGCTTTTTCTATTTTATGGAGACTTTTGGCAAATGCCTTCATTACGTGTGCACAGCAAAGTCGCACAAATGTCATGTTGCGTAATTGAGATGAGTCATACGCAAAATTCAGAGTATTAAAGCAACGACGAAGATGATGTTTAATACTATCGGTGTTGAACGAGCTGAGTACACTATTTAGTATAGCTCGAGAGAAATCAATAACTGCGAAAGATGGACGTGCTGTTTTGGAACGTAGCTCAAGTTTACTGCGTACATAATTGAAGTATGAAGTGATGGAAGCAACTGTGTGGTCGCAAAGAAGAGCCCCGCTAAGTGGTAACGTATTGGAAGGATCTTCTCCAGCTTTGAAAATCATCGAGTAAAAAAATATAGAGTTTTGGTCCTTGAGCTTTTTAATAACATAACCAGTCGCATCAATATGTAAATAAGAGTAGCTTTCGGTTTTGCAATACTTGGCAAAATGGTCGAGTTGTGCTTCAGTGAAAAAGTGAACTGTGAAGGGCCATTCTTCAGTTGTTTGCACAAAGCCTATATAAAATTCGTAAAAACTATCTTGTATATTGAAATCCAATTTCTTGTAGGGATGTCCGAGAAGCGCTCTGTATCATAGATGGAACCGGTACCGGGAACCATCCGATCCGGTCCGGTTCGGACTTTAGACCGGCCGATATACCGATCTAAATCCGGTCTACCAGTCTGAATCCAGTCTAGCGGTTTATAATGGCTTTTTTTCGGCATCCACCATCGAAGGTAATTTACTCCCAAAATGGATAAGTTTAGTCTTTTCTGCTAAAAGAAAAGCTTTGAAAGGAAAAATAGAATGTCATGGAATTTGACCAAACGTAATTTGGGTCGATGAATCCAAAAGAAATACTTTATATCAATTTTCATCAAGTATATCGATTTTTCTATCTCAAAATCGTTGTTGCTAAAAGTCAACCATGTAGAATATATTTCATACTAGGAAAATAATTTTTTTCCATAGAGCGTCGATGAAATTTGAAACGAAATATGCAATATACGTTTTTTTAAACAATGACATTTTTCTTTCTCTATCAATCTCTTCTTATAGCTGATCGAATAGGAAACATGACTATTCACAAACAATATCGATTATTTTTTTCTAAAATTCTTCATATCAAAACAGAAAAATCAAAATGCACATGTCCTTATCGAAAATCAATTTTTCGATATCGAATTGTCAACATGGAAAGCGATATATGAAATACAGATTTTTTTAAATAATATAAATGTTCGATGTATAAATCTCTATGCAAAAAAACAAGTGTAATATACGTATAATAATTTTATAACTTTTTCCACGTAAAGTGCTTCTTAGAAAAAGCTAAATGGGGCATGTAGATTGTTTTAAGAAAAATGATTTTTTTCCTTGCGCAATCGATGGCATCGAAAACAGTGAAGCTTGTACTTCCTTAGAGAAAAAAGATGTCAAGAAAAGATATTTCATTTGGAAAACGAAATACGAAATTTGCATTTCCTTAAAGAAGAACAATTTTGACTTTGGACTTGCTTCACATGAAAAGAATAGTTTGAAGTAGGCGCTTGCTTAAAAAGTAGAAGCTTTTCGAGATATTCCATTCGTATTAAAAATGATGCATGAGTCTACTTGAAGAATATGAAATTTTTGTACGAAATTCTTCATATTGCAAGGTACACAGGAAAAATGGATCTTCCTATTTGAGAATGATTTTTCCATATGGCATTGATGGCATGAAATAAAAAGTAGAAAATATACATATTCTTAGAGACTAAGACATCCTCGATTCGAAATCTTTCATGTGATAAACAAAGTATCAAAAAATGCATTTCGTTATTCAAAAACAATATTTAATACGAGTAGAATGGATTTCGAAAGGAAGTTTGAGCGGCAGTTACTTGAAGAAAAGTAATGTCACTAAATGAAATCATTACTGTGAAAAAAAAAGAAATATGACCTATGTTTTGTTTAACCAATAAAGATTTTTCCATAAGAAATCGATTATACAAAAAAAAGATGCAATATGCATTGCTTCAAACAAAAACAACTTGTGTGCGGAATATAGAGTATATATAAGGAAATACGATGAATTAAATTCTCATGTAAACATGAATTTCGCTGCAGAATAAATGATTCATATGAAAAACAAAGTATGATAAATGCATTTAGTTAAAGAATATCAATTTTTTTATATCAAATCCTTCATATAATAAACGAAATTGAAAAATGCATAAGGTTATAGAAAAAGTTTTTTCTCATAAGATATCGATAGCTGCTGAAATGAAATATAGAAAGTATGAAATT